TTCTTTCTTTTTTTTTTTTTTTTTTTTTGCCAGCCAATCCCCTTCGCCAATACTCCCTACCATACGCCGCCGAGTGGTGGCTGTGACAGCCAAAGCTAGTCCAGTCTCCTTCAAGCGCGTATAAGCACATCACTTGGCAGCAGTGCAGGGATCAAGAACCCCCCGTGCTAACCCGTCGTTTAGCATCGACTGCTGCGAGTGCCTCCTGTAAGCGCCGTTCAATCATCACACCGCCCAAAGACTGCTGGCCACAGCCATCGACCTAGAGCTTTCCCAAAGCAGGCCACACCTACACTCTCTCTGTGCCAGTCGCCATGAACACGAATCCTTTCACATCGAACTACGCCGAGAAAACACCCTTTTGTTCAGTTTATTCTATTCCTCCATATATCCCATTGCTTCCCCCCTAACGTCCCTTCTGCAACACGATGACGCGCTACGTATCCACATCCATGTCAATAATTATCGCGAATGGCAAAAGCCTGCCGGGGCAAACAGGTTTATTAGCTCAAGACATGTCTTCGCTAAGGTTTATGGCGTCTGTGTATTTTCTGCTTTCGCGATTTTCGGAACTTTCGTCGCTTTTATTTGTTCAGGATCGGGTTTTCTTATAGCCCTGTTGGGAAGGATTGGGTCTCACAGGTGATGATGTGCTGTGAGGCCCGGGCTGTTTTAGGACTAGGCTATGGTAATAGAGGGTGATGTCTCATAACAGGAGTGGATATGTTGATATGCTCGTTTTGTTGGTCTTGTGTGAACGTGGTCAAGATGTTCATATTGTATGATGCAACAGCTATGTGACTCTAATACCTTGAGCAGTGACACTAGTGTCGAAAATATAGTGTCTATGGTAGCAGGGGTGAGACGCACTATGAAGGGGTTCATAATCGATCAACCTGCATCTCGACCATATGGGGGAGATTCGAGGCAGCCGAAATTTCTTCAAACAGCATAATGCTTTCAACATCACACATAAGCATAAACTTAATCATGTTTCTATTACCACCATAAGCGGTCCAGTAGTTGCAAGCGTCTACGAAATCTTTTCTGCTACCAAGGACCACATGCAAACAGATTTCGCCCCTTGTTAAAACAAGCAAAGACTCTCTTTAGCCATTCAAGCCTAAGAGTCCAGTTGCACGTAGTTAGATGGGAAAAGTCCCGCATGGCCACCATAATGGCCAAACCACCAGTCCTCATCAGGGAACTCGAGGTTTGTAATTTTCGCGTCTTCTGGGAATGACAATTCTGTTTTTAGATCGTATTAGCCATTGTCTTTTATAGACCCAGTATGCATGCAATCTACTCACCGTTATCCTCCGCCGCTTCATAGTCATACAAAGCTGTTGCAGTCGGTCCAGCTGTCGTGGGTGGGCTTGTAGCGCCACGAGCAGCAGGCGAGGGTGCCGACGGAGCTTCTGCAGCTGCCGCCGGGGTGGCACCGGCCTCTTCGTCGATTAACTCAACATAATTGCTGGGGAATAGCCCGCTCTCTCCTAGATGGTTCGTTCCCATCCACCAGTCCGCGTCTACCATCTCGATGTTGACAACAACCTGACCTTCCACCAGGTCGATTTCATTACCCTCTGCTTTTTCATAGTCATACATGATGACGGCGCGGTGGCCTCCTGCGACGGGTCCATGATCTAGCTCTGTCTCCGGCTCCGGCGGTCGAGCAACTTCTGGAGCTGGAGGTTCTGGCTCCTGGACGGGAAGAGGAGGGGGCAGAGGTCGTCGTTCAGGCTCCGGCTCGGGCTCGGGTTCTGGCTCGGCTTCCGGAGCACGAGCGACAGGCGCCGCCACTCGGATCGGCGACGGCTCTCTTTGCTCAACAGGCTCATATGTGGAAGCATTCGCCTCCACTTCCTCTTCCTTCTCATCAGCCGGCGGCGGTCTGCTGGGAAGGCCAGGAAGAGCGAGGCCGTTAGATGGTCTAGAGTTATCGGGCACAGGTGAAGGGGGCGCAGGTTGCGCATCTTCCTGGCGTGGCGCGGGGAGTGTAGGTGCTGAGCCGATGAGTGAAGTGTCCTTAAAACGATCTCTCAGAGCGGAGACGCCCGAAGAAGAGTCATTAGCCTCGTCTGCAGGTCCTCTTTGGCGGTCATCGGCATGCTGCTGCTCGCTTTCAACCGGTCCATCTCGGGAGTAACCAGGTGCTTGCACGGCCCAAGACTTTCCAGTATAGCCGCTCTTCCATCCTTGCCCTCCACTCGATTGAGGAGTGACCGATGCTGGAGCAACAGGCGAAGATCCCGCCCCAGCAGTTGGTCCGCCCTGTCTAGCCTTCTTTTCAGCCCAAAGCTGTGCGGGAGTTTTGCCCCCTTGGTCAGCAAACGTTCGGCTGGCAGATCCAACAGGCGCAGCGGCAGCAGGAGTTGGACCGCCGAAACCTAAGCCTGCTGGAGTCGGTGCCTTTGTACCGGTAAACGTGGAGGCGCCTCCAAACTTGTTAGCAACCTTGGGTTTGGGCAATGACGTTATTCTCTCCGACTGGGCGGGCTGAGAAAAAGCCGCGGCTCGCTCGGCCAAAGGCTTGGGTTCCGCCGCAGCTTCCTCTTCCTGTGGTTCAACAGGTTTTTGGGCTCTGGCTCTAATGGCTGCAATATCGACTTTCCCAACTGGCTCGTATGCGCCCTTCACCGGCGTAGGCCTGTCATCTTCTTTTCTCTGTGCGGCAGCTCGAATAGCAGCAATATCCACCTTACCCACAGGCTGATATCCTCCTCCTACAACATCGCTAGGTCCGTCAGACTGTCGACTGCTGGCATCAAATCGTGAAGGCTCCGGCTTTTGCTTCGTGAGCTCCGCCATGTTGACTTTTGTAGGCTTGTATGCAGATTCCACCTTTTCAATCTCGGTCCTCGTGACAGGCGGGGCATCGACACCCCATCCTTCCTCATCAACAGTATCATCTCTCCGGGAGCGCGCAGCCACAAGGGGATCAAATGCTCTACCGGTGCTGGAAGCGGTCGGCGTAAAGACCGGCTTCGACCTGACTGGCGGAGGTGCTGCTCGAGCTACATCACCAGAACCAGCAGCAGAATATTTGGCTCCGGAAGCATCGGCAACCTTTTGCATAATTGATTCGGGCTCCAGATCATTATCAGAGCGCGCGGTTATTTGGACGTGGTATCCGTGAAGGACCTTGGCCACAGCATTGAGGTGGCTCGTGAAGTAGCCCTTGGTGCGCTCGGGAACGCCGCCGCCGCACCAGGCAATAAGGACATTTTTCGGGAGAGATGTGTTGGGGTCCTTGACCTTGACGAAAGCGAATTGAATGCGACCTTCATTGAAGTCCTCGATCAAATCAGCCAGTTCACCACCTGTGTAATCTCACGTCAGAACTGTGGGTGTAGCGAAGGGAACAAGACATTTGTCGCGCCGGTTTCGAAGCGGAAAGTTCTCACCTCCGGTGTTTTCAACCTTGAGAATACTCTCTTTGGAACCACTGTCTTGGAAAGCGTTCATCAAGGGAGCTTGGACGGAGAAGAGCGCCCACTGTGCAAGGGTGGCCGAGGTACCGGCGGGAGGAGGGCCATTGACCACGCCATTGTAGCTGCTCTTTATGGAAGGGCCGTTGATAGACAGGTTCAACGACGCCATATTATTGAATAACGGCCGAGGCCGAGGTCAAAAGGGTTCGGTTGTTGAAGAAACTAAGTAGAGACAATGACGTCGTGCGAGAGTGCGGTTAAGTCGGACAGCAAAGCTCCTGGCTCCTTCGGATGCGGGGGCTGGTTAATGGCTTCGGAAGGGCAGCTCTGTATGATAGCTCGGGAGTGGGAGTCGGACTGAAGGACGCTGAAGCCCGGAAGAATCGGCGGAGTGCGACAATTCTCCTGGAGCTGAGGGAGATGGTGACGGGGAGAATGAGTGAGTTGCTGGCTAGGCGGAGCTAGAAGGATGGTGCTGCGGTGGTTTATGAAGCCACAAGCTGAGCTCGGGTTTTGGCGACGTTGACGTTGACTTTGCTCGGGGCGCAAGGCGGGGCCGAACCAGCCTCTTGCTCCAGAGTACGACCTGCTGACGTACGGATGTCAGGTTGTTTCAGGGGCAGTACGCTCTCAATGTTGTGAGGCACTCACTATTAGCTGCCAGCCCACATGTGCGCTTGGCGCTGAAGGCGGCTGTGTACTTACGGACATAGCTTCGAGCGGGTCGGGAATCCGCAGACGTAAATGCGAGGCAAAAAGTACTAGTTAGTTACCTTAGGGACCTGGGAGGTACTTAACCAGGCACTCGACCTGCCATGCACGCCTCCATCGCGTGAATGTGTGATGTTGGATTTATATCAATTTTAGTATTGTTATTATTGGTTTTCTCTCTTTTTCGGCCAGCTGGACATCGCGTAATGAGACATCTCCCGTCAGGCCGTCTCTGTCAGACCGCCCTCGTCGCGACTTCTTGAGCGCGAGCGACATGTCATGATATCAACCACGCAGCCACGCAACCACCCAAGCAGGGACGCATCAGCTTCGATGGTCGCCGGCGACACCGTGGACCCAGCTTCAATTGATGTCTAATCAAGCCCTTCACGTTCGCTGGGTTCCGGCCACGCCAGAGCTTGCCGCTGAGCGGTCCAATGCCATGCGACCAAAATGACGCAAGGCCGTCCAACCAGAGACATCGCCCATTCCCATTGCCCCTCCTTCAGGGAGGGCCTTCTCTTTCCGTCCCCGAAAGTTCGGAGTCCCTCTAAAAACATCAAAAAGTTGCCCCGCCAAATTTCCATCATCCAAACGACCATTGCTTCCATTCATCGCCCACACCGCACCGCATTTTGAAGCCACAGACAACAGACAGCCCGTGTGCACGATACAGTACATCGCGCAGGCCTTGCCTTCATCATTCAACATGTCAACCATCACTGAGATTACCACTCAGTCGCAGTGGGACGAGACTCTCGCCTCCCTGCCTCCTTCGACCCTGTTGGTCGTCTCCTTCCACGCACCCTGGGCAGCACCATGCGCTCAGATGGCCACAGTCCTCTCCACCCTCGCATCAGAATATCCCGTCACAGAGCCTTTGAACACGAAATGGGTATCTATAAACGCTGAAGAGCTAAGTGATATCAGCGAGGCCTATGATGTTACCGCTGTTCCGTTCCTTATCCTCGTCCGAAACGGCCGGGTCGTAGAGACTGTCAGCGGCAGCAGCGCCGTCAAAGTCAGAACCGCCATCGAGACGAATGCCCAAAAGGACGCATCTGCGCCGACCGCCGCTGTCAACGGTACCAACCAGACCAATGCGCCGGTTACCAAGACGGACGGGGCGAACGCCGATCCAGAGAAGCAGAAGGAGGAGCTTTTCAAGCGCCTGGCCGATCTTGTCAAGGCCGCACCTGTCATGCTGTTTATGAAGGGAACTCCTAGTGACCCTCAGTGCGGCTTTTCACGGCAGATGGTTGGCATCTTGCGAGAAAACTCTGTCAAGTACGGCTTCTTTAACATTTTGGCAGACGATGAGGTTCGGCAAGGCCTGAAGGAATTTGCAGAGTGGCCCACCTACCCTCAGTTGTGGATTGATGGCGAGCTTGTTGGTGGTTTGGATATTGTAAGTGGCATACCAAAGACTGCTTGCTGTCGTTCACGGCGCTTCATCATGGCTCCAGTTACTGACACGGCCACCTAGATCAAGGAAGAAATGGGCAATAATGAGGATTTCTTCAAACCATATGCTGTGGGTGGGACTGCCGATGCTGCTGCTTGAGGAACGAATATAACCGGGCGGCACGCTTAGTAGGGTACTTGCAGAATCTCGGTGTTGACACAGCACAGGAAGTGAGACGATTTCTGTCAAATGCGAGAGGAAAACTGCATCATGGTCTTAGAGCCACGCCACTGCGACGCTCTGGGGGAAGTCCATGGATGTCGGGTAATATATGGGTAAGGTATTAAGAGACTGGCAGTTTATCCCACCCTGCTGGACCTTCAGGTAAATTGGGACAGCGTTGGCACCATTGAGCGGCACATGTGACTTGTCATGACGGAGATGGAGCTGTCGAGCATGACAAGATTGTAGGAACTTGGGAACGGTAGCGTATTACATTATATCGTGAAATGAATTAATAACTCATGAGACCATATGCGTGGATAGTTGCATCGCGTTTGTTGGGTTTCGAACCTTACATACACAATCCGCTGACGCAACAATGCAGTTTACAATATTCGTGCAAACGAGATGGAAAACAGACCCTCATATTTAGGGTGACGGCATACCGTCCAGAGTAGTCTACAGGAGCTGAGAAAGCCGTGAGCCAATGATCGATCCATCGGATCACACCAAGCGAGCGACCAATAAGAGACGTCCTAACAAAAGCGACAGGGCCAGCTCCATCACCATCTTGTGCAATTAATTCGTCCATCCATGATTGAATTAATGGAGGATAAGGACAATTCATCTGCGCATCCATCGATTGGAACACGCGGAGTCCGGCCAGCCATGAAAGTTCGCCTCCAACGCCCACCAGCCAGACAATCCACAAACGGCAAGAGGACTGCCAGCCAGCGCCAAAAGCACCCCGTTGGCAACTTAAAGGTGATTTCATGTCTGGTACTCGGTACTATGGCTTACAAATTACTGTGGCATCAGAGGCCCCTCTTTTCCCTCGTCAAGTTTGCGTCAAACAACCCCCCCTGCTACTCATGGTGTGCGTCAAACGAGGTGAGTCACAGCAACTGATATGCCGTCGTTGCGGGCTGTCCACTTTGTCCACATTTTTGTCCACGTCAGCCTTGTATCAGCAGGTTGCTGCAGGTTTGCTCTCACTTTCGGAGTACACTGCAAATGGTGGGATAAAGTTGTCTGGCTTCCCCGAATAACTACTTAAGTACCTAGGTACCTACCTAGGTAAGAGGGTAGGTACCGTAGATACAGACGGAGTACTCTGTCGCACATTTTCCCCGTCTGTCGCCTGCTGGTCCAGTCGCACGTTTGGCCATGATGCAACGGCTTCTGCCGCTAGAAACTCTCGATTCGCATTGATTCGCATTGTAATATAGGACGGTAGTTGCGCCAAAATCACGGGCGTGTCAAGTGTCTTCGGGGTTTGCGGCTTTCCTCGATGAAAGTAGAATGGCAGCAGTTCCTTCCACCAAGGATAAGTGGCACAACCTGCTAAATGCCTAGCTGGAGGTAGCTAGTACATAAGTGCTCAATGTGCTCGACGTTGGTCGAGGCCTGCGCTTGGCTGCAGCATCGTGCCATGCACCCGATCTTCACCGGTTAGTGCCAGCAAGCGGGAAGAGTGGTGCGGCTATCGCGAATGCAGGATCGAGGCGTTATTTCTTAGATAAAGTAGGTACAGCCAATGCCGCTCATCCAAGCCCTCACGGCTTCTTCGCTTCCCTCTTCTCTACTTAACCTCATCGCCAGAGGCTTGCCCTCTTTTGCTACGCAGATTCGTGATTCCACTGGCTGGCTTAGCGATTGACTGGCCGACCGACCGACCGACTGCGTGCTCTAAATGTTTGCATCATCAGCGTCTGGTTCTCGTACTTAGTCTCCAGCATCCATTCACCACCCAAGTTCACCAGTCCTTCCTTCGCTTCGACCGAATCCGTCCGCGCTATTTCCTCCTACATTGTAACTGTTTCGTATCGACTCGGTCGCTCCATCGGCATCCAATCAATTCAATGCCGTCGTTCGATACTGTGTGCATCTAACTCCAAGAAGAGGCTCTGGAACCCACTGCACATTGGTGGGGTCGTCGACTCCAATCTCAACCAGGGCTCAATAGACGAAACGCTGCCTATGGGGGACACAGGCTTTCATCCCGAAAAGAGCTTCTGGTGTTTTTGTCATCCCTCCCTTCTAGGCTCTGTGCCGCCGTTTCTGGAGTGCGTCCTATTCAGTTGCGCAATATACGAGCTAGGACAGCCCACATCATAGCAGACGGTCGATTTCTAATCAGCGCCAACCTAGATCGTTTTCTAGCCTCCTCACTGCATTTCATCTTTCAATCTAGTCGCCGTTGCCGCAGGTCGTTTTCATACGAGTTAGGTCTTGTCGCACTTCTCAACACTTGACTACACTGCTAGGTGAAGCCGATTCTGTTGACGGTGATTCCATACCTGGGTATCTGGACATACAGGGTCTTATCTCCGAACCAGCCTGGCCATCAGGCTTTTTTCCATCCATCCACCATATATCCAGAACAATTCGAACAAAATGACGCCGACACCGCCTTCTACGAACTCTTCCGCAGGCAAGGGGTCGCCTGAAGAGCAGTTTCGTGTGGTGCGCAAGAGAAATCGAGTACCACTGAGCTGTTATCCGTGTCGGACAAGAAAGTAAGTGAGCCGACAAGCGAACTCCGCCCATAAAATATATATTAGTTATACTAACATTCCATACCAGGCTGTAAGACGACTGGCTAGCATGAGCGAAGAGTTCCATTGTTTTTACTAACCCATGCCTCTAGGAAATGCGATCGAAGTCATCCATGCAGCAATTGTACCAAGCGCGAGGGCAAGGACACGACATCTTGCTCCTACGCAGCCCCCGCATCTCGAAAAAAAAGTCAAAACCAAGCTGATTCGAGCCCCGACGATATGCAAAATAGGATAGACAGGCTGGAGGGCCTTGTGCTTTCCTTGATGCACAACGGCGCGAATATTGAGACAAACGCCCCGCGTACCAGCGTATCCACCTCCCAGTCAGTCACTGACAGTGGCTCCTCGGCTCGGATGCCGCGTGATGAGGAGGCGGCCATGGCAGAAGACGACAGTGACGTGGATGATCATCTTGCCAAGTCCATTGGTGTGCTCAAAGTTGACGCTGACAGGGGAAAGTCAATGTATTTTGGACAAGAACACTGGCATCTGATTCTAGCAGATATCGCGGAGGTCAAAAACTACTTCACTAGTCACAAAAAGGAACTCGAGTCAAGTTACGAGAAGGTCAGATCATCAAAACCCGCGACCGCACGGGAAGGGCCAACACTGCTTCTGGGCGCATCCCCTGCGTCCGAAGTAGAGCTGCGTGGAGAGCTCCCATGTAAATCGAATGTTCTTGCGCTGTGCAGTCGCTACTTCAATTCTATGGACAATGCTGTCAGCATCATCCACGGACCGACCTTTTCCCAACAACTCCGAGACCACTGGCAAGACCCATCGAAAACACCCATGATGTGGTTGGGTCTTTTATACTCAATATTGTCTCTGGCCATGCTGAGTTATCACAAAGTCGGAGACGAACCCGCAGAGTGGCGAGGCAGGACATTGGAACTTGCTGCTGAGTACAGATTGCGGACTGTACAATGCCTGATGAAGGCTGATTATACCAAGCCAGTAGAGTACACCGTGGAGACCATGCTGCTCTACGTTTTCGGCGAGTACTCTTCCCGTTGGGATGCTGATCTCGGCCTGTGGATGATTGTATCTTTGATCATCAGAATAGCCTTTCGGATGGGCTACCACAGAGACGCCAAGTGGTTTCCGTCCCTAACCCCATTCCAAGCGGTAAGCCCAGACTCCTGTTGTAGGAGATTGATAGCAGCAGTCTAATGCGCCCAGCAGGAAATGAGAAGAAGAACTTGGGCGTTGGTTCGCATGGCCGATGTCGTTTTCTCTCACCAGGTGTCACTACCAAACATGATATATGATCACGACTGTGATACGCAGCTACCAAATAATATCTATGATGACGAATTTAACGGGGATACTAGGCAGTTGCCTCCTTCGAGACCTATTACTGAGGCGACTCCAGTTTCGTATATGATCGCCAAGGCCAGGTTGTGCATCGAACTCGGTAGTATCCTGCAGGCGACAAACAGAGTGGACAAGGGCGTACCGTACGATGAAATTATTCGCTTCGACGCCAAACTACGACAAATCATGCAAGAGCTGCCTCCTCATCTGAAAATTGGCCCTCTGGCCGGCTCGCGAGACCCGGTCACACTAATTATTGCTAGATTCAATATTGACATCCTTTTTCAAAAGATTATGTGCTTGCTACATCGAAAGTACATCTGCAGAGCAAGGCAAAACCCTCGTTACGCACACTCAAGGAGAAGTGCCATTGAGGCATCATTGCAAGCCATGGAGCACTTGCAAACTCTCCATCATGAATCGCAAGGCAACGGTCGACTGCGAACCGTGAATTGGTACGTCAAGTCGGTCGCGACCAAGGAATTCACTCTTCCAGCCATGCTTATCGTTCTGGATCTACACTACGATAATCTCGCTGAGCAGTCTGGGTTGCCTGAAGACACCGAAGGTGCATTCCGATGGTCTCCAGAGGAGAGGGCCAGGATGATTAGCACGCTGGAGGACGCGGCGATCATCTGGAAGAGCCTCGCAGATGGCTCAGTGGAGGCTTTCAAGGCATCCAAGACGATCGACATTATGCTGCAGAAGTTACAGAACCCGACAAAGAACTCAAACAGGTCATCCAGTACGCGCAGTGACCTCCCATCTACTGATGCGATTGACTCCGGACTGGATCCGTCATTTGCGTCACTTGGAACGGAAACAATTAAGTCAGAAGAACTTATTGAATTCGGCACTGGAATGGGCCCATTCACCAACACCAATAATAGCGCATTCATGGGGATGGAGTTCAGCCTTCCCGCTCCAAATCTTGGTGACTTCGCGGGTGACGGGATGAATCTCATCGGCGCCCAGTCACCATTGTCTATGTTCACAAATATAGGTGCAAGCTCTGGATCCGGCCCGGAGTTGTCCACCTTTGACTGGGTATGTTAGTTA